GGTAGTAGAAAGACTATAATTAGGAGTATTTCTGGGTGTAAGAATTCCCTCACAGCTTAAAACTGGCAGATAACACTTACATGCACACTGAGCTACACAAGCCAACAAAACAATGCAAAACTACACTGTACAATCTGTACGTTTTTAAAAGCAGTCGAGAATTATAGTGTCATTTACACTGCATGCATCATTGATGTCAGGCCTCCCTGTTCTTCGATGCATTTCTCCTGTGTCTTGCATTTGCCTCTGTGAGTATCTTTAACTACTACATTTTACGATTTAAATCTTGCCTTTGAGCTGCATTTTGAAGCAGAACTGCCTACTGAGAAAGATAACTAACAACAAAAATTCACTCACATTCCTCCTTTTCTGCCCACGCGTCCCCCCACTGAAGCCCTTAGGCCCTCACCCAACTCCCACTCAAGTCAATGACTCCCATGGGAGCTGCACCAGGTCCTCAGTGAACAAAAAGGGCTTAAGAAGTACAGTGCACAGGTGTTGTTCTGCTCCTTCGCACCAGTGTAAATTCTGCACCCAAAGAACTTCATCAAGCATTTGAATGCAGCTTAGCTGATCAGATATTAAATTGTAGCTCTCCACACATAGTAATCCTACCTGTATGCAAACTGAAGCAACTTCAAACTAGATTTTCACACTGCATTTTGATAGTAAAGCAATGGGATGTGACTGAATGGGCAAACTGAACCCAATGTATTTTCTTCACTTCCATTTCATCTCCCTTTGCTAGTTCAAATGTGTCTTTTATCATTGGACATCTGCATACGCCAGTATTATTTCTTTAACAGCCCATCTATCCTCAGCATGAAGTAAGCATTTACTATTAAAAACACACATGGTGAGGAAGGTGAGGGCTTGGGGGATTTCTGAAGTCCTACACAAAAATAATCTTAATTTGTTCACCCTTTAGACACTAATGTCTCTCTTTTTCACTTCTGATTCATTGACCTTTTGCTTGTCTGAGTCATACAGAAGATAATCAGCATAAAATATATGACCTGAAGCTGCCGTTTCAAAGCAGTTTCCTACAGTTTGTCAAATACTGCAGTAACATCCAGTTCTCCTCTGGGTTTCTTAGAAATGAAACAGAAAAGCCATTCAACTACATGGCTGGCTGCCTTTCAGAGACAAGCCCCACTGCCTTGCTTGTGGTTTCAAGTACTTTTTTCTCCAGTTTGTGGGTACTGTATTCCTGACAAGCCCAGAAGCACCACTCGTAGAAAACAGAAGGAACTATGGCTCAGATTTTTGGAACTGCTTGCACAAAAATACATGCACAATTGCACACCTAATTTGCATACACACACTGTAATTGTGCATGCAAATCCGGTATATGCATGCACAAAGAGCAATTAGATCCATAACTAGATATATGCGTTCACAAATACCCAGTTTGCAGAGACCAAGGATGGTTCTTGAGGTTAAGGCGTTGTACTGGGACTGAAGAACTCGGGATTCAGTTCTTGCCTCTGCCACAGACTTCCTTTGTGCTCACAGGTAAATAACGTAATGTCTCTTTACCTCAGCTCCTCATCTGTAAAACTGAGATAATACTTTCTTTTCCCCACCCCTCTGCCTGTTTAGACTGTAAGCTCTTTAGAGAGGGGCTATCTCTTCTGATGTATATGTAAAGCACCTAGCACATTGGGGTCCTGATCTCAATTGGAGTCTCTCAGCACCATTGTAATGCACCTAAAATAATAACTACAAGTGTCATCGTGGTAATTTTGAATGTAAATAAGGCTCATCAATTGCCAACATATTTTTGCTCATTCTGTTCTGAAAATCTAGCCCTTCATATGTGTTACCCATAAAATACTTTTGAAAATCACTTGCTAATATCAGAAGTGAAAGAGTTCTGTATTTGTTTCACACCACACAACTAAAGGTGTTTCTTACCCTCTTCTTACCCTCTGTTTCTCAAAATGACGAGAACGGGTGGAGTTTCTTGGGTTTGAAAACGAAATGGACATTTTGTCATCAGTGCAGAATGATGTACCCAAAGGTTAAACCTATGCTCACAAATGCCTGATCTTAGATCATTTGGCTTAGTCAATTTAGTGATAGTTTTCACAGTCACTGCTGCAAGTCTGTGACCAACACCTCCCCACCACCACCCTGTTTGTAAAAAAAATTAGAGTCGCCTTTTACTAAGTGCTAACTTCAAGTACACAAGGAGCAAAATTCTATCCATTTCAGAATTCCCCCCGACTCCACACCTCTGCAAGCAGCTTGAAATCACATTTTCCCAGTGAAACACAAGAAAAATGACTTACATCATCCGACCTTTGGTTGGTCAGTGATCCTGAGAGCAGGATGCTAATACCTAGCAATTTTGCAGAATTAATTAACCCTTTGGAGCTTTCATGTGTATCTTCCCCATAGCCACAAATACACCGCAGATTGTTTACAATGCACCATGATATGTAGAGCAAAGACTACTCGGTGGGAAAGCAATGATATAAACTTTTATGAACCGTCAGAGTGGCCCATGGAAGCAGAGAGCAGATCCTCACCCTGTGCGCCATGTCACAACGCCACTAGCTCAGCTTTGGCCCAGACCCTACAGGACTCATACCACCTCTTTGCCATCCAGCTCTGCTCATGGGCCAAAGGGGACTCTTCCCCTCCTCCGCCCATCTCCAGCACCTGTGTACTCACCCATGCTATAGCCCCTATAGTACACTGCTCTGGTGACACTTGGGGACATTAAACCTGCCCTAAAAGGACACCTTAAAGTCTTAAGGGTCCCTTAGCATCAGAACGCAAGAAGTCCCCAGATATCCAATTCAGCCCACGTAATTTAGAGACCAGTCTTCTGCCTTTGTCTGAGCTTTTTTCCCTGTACTCAAGACCACACAATTGTGCACATAGTGCATGCTATATACCAGGGGTAGGCAACCTATGGCACGCGTGCCAAAGATGGCATGCGAGCTGATTTTCAGTGGCACTCGCACTGCCCGGGTCTTGGCCACCGGTCCCGAGGGCTCCGCTGCTGGCCTGGGGTACTATCTGCCGGCCCCCTTCCAGCTGGGGTTCCATCTGCCGGCCCCGCTCAGCCCGCTGCCAGCCCTGGGTCATGGCCACCAGTCCCGGGGGCTCCACTGCTGGCCTGGGGTACCGGCCGCCAGCTCCCTGCCAGCCGGGGTTCCATCTGCTGGCCCCGCTCAGCCTGCTGGTGGCCCCAACTCCCAGCCACCGGTCCGGGGGGCTCCGTGGCTGGCCTAGGGTACTATCTGCCAGCCCTCTGCCAGCCGGGGTTCTGTCTGCCAGCCCCGCTCAACCCGCATGCCAGCCACTGGTCCCAGGGGCTCCACTGCTGGCCTGGGGTACCGGCTGCCAGCCCCGGGTCATGGCCACTGGTCCCGGGGGCTCTGCGGATGGCCAGGGGTACCGGCCGCCGGCTCCCTGACAGCCGGGGTTCTGGCCGCCGGCCCCGCTCAGCCACTGCTCGCCCCAAGTCATGTCCACCGATCCCAGGGGCTCCGCTGCTGGCTGGGGTACTGGCCGCCAGCCCCCTGCTAGCCAAGGTTCCATCCACCGGCCCTGCTCAGCCCGCTGCCAGACCCAGGTCATGGCCACCAGTCCCAGGGGCTCTGCTGCTGTCCTGGGGTACCGGCTGCCGGCCCCCTGCTAGCCGGGGTTCCGTCCACCAGCCCCGCTCAGCCCGCTGCCAGCCCCGAGTCATGGCCACCGGTCCTGGGGGTTCCATCCGCCAGCCCCGCTCAGCCCGCTGCTGGCCCCAGGTCCCGGCCACCAGTCCCAGAGGCTCCGCTACTGGCCTGGGGTACTGGCCGCCAGCCTACTGCCAGCTGGGGTTCTGTCCACTGGCCCCCTCAGCCCGGCCACCAGCCCTGGGTCCTGGCCACCAGTCCGGGGGACTCTGCTGCTGGCCTGGGGTACCAGCCGCTGGCTCCCTGCCAGCCGAGGTTCCGGCCACTGGTCCCGCTCAGCCCGCTGCCGGCCCCGGGTCCTTGGCCACCGGTCTGGGGGGCTCTCCTGCTGGCCTGGGTTCCCGGCCGCCGGCCCAGGGCTCTGCAGCCGCCACAGTTGTGGCCCTCTGGCCCCAGCCTTGGGCAGTGAGGGGTGCAGACAGGGCCAAGAGGGGGTGCAGCTCAGCATGGATCACATGGATTCTTATTACTGGTACACAAAACCTTTGATTAGAATGAATAAAGGAAGACTCAGCACACCATTTCTGAAAGGTTGCTGACCCCTGCTATATAAACTGCTCTCTAGCCCCATAGATGGGATAAAAAAATAAGAAGAAAAGTTGGAAAACTATCATTTGTGAAGACCACTAGGTCCACTGCTTCCTTATGCACTTAACACCAGCCCATTCTTCTGCTCCCAAGAACCTAATCCTTTAAATTCCATCTGTGTAAGCACCATCTCTTCCCACAAACAGGCAATCCAAGGCATCACACATTTCTCTCACAGCCTTGACAGTTTGGCCAATATGGTATTTATGTCCACATGTAAAAAGGCCAAGGAACCCATTATTTCTCCCTACTAAAGAGTATTTCTTTTGAATCATGTAACCGCTGTGCCCAAAACCGGGTTTCACACTTTTCTATACAGTGTTTTCATTGATCGTTTGCTCATATTTTTCCAATTAAATTAGCAGTTATGCTTGTGTTTCACATTGCTCTGTTCTATTTCTGTTCTTTTTGGACCACACTTTGGTGACTCAGAAGTTCGAGAGATAAAGCACACTGACCAGATGGTACATGCAGGCCCACAGGTTTCCATAAATGTCAGAAAAAGGGGGAAAGCTGAAAACTAGGAAAGCAACGGGTCCAGACTGTGGAAAAAGGAGGATGACATGGGTAGATTTTGCAGTCATGGTTCAAAGAACACTGACCTCTACCTTGGCAGTTGTCTGCATTGTAGATTTTAATGTCTTCTGTCTAAACTGTATTCTCTTGATGTTGTTTTAACTAATCCAGGTTGTATCACTATAATCTAATAATGAATCTTACTGTGAGATGGAGATTTTCAGTATCCAGCAGCCAAACCACCGAGGCTATGAAGCAAGTTCAAATCTGGTCACTCTTTGAGGCAGTAGTAACAAATCCATGCTGCAGCATGGTGCTAAGGAGGTCGGTGCTGCTGGAGATGGCATCATTTAGACGAGATGTAGAAACCGATGCGCAGATCACACCTGGTCACAAAATGGCTCCTTTAGGAAAGAACAGAGATGCTAATTCTGGTGCCCTGCTCAAAATTCCCAAGTCAGGCATCTAAATTCTTCCTCCCTAAATTTCCCTTTTGAGTGGAAGGGATGTCTGCTCAGAAACCGTTTCTGGCCTTCTTGCATCCTTCCACAGGGTGGGAGATCAAACAGCCATAGCCTGGAGGGGGCAAGGCATGGGGTCATTTGCTTGCAACGCCCCCTTCACCTGAACCCTTCCATGGGGCTAGGGGGAACAGCAACAGGCTGGAAAGCAGCAGAATCTTCCATTCCATCCCTAGAGTCCTCCATGGAGTTGGGGAGAGAGGAGCAGTCCCAGCCATGAACAGGGGCTTGAGTCCAGGGCAGAGAGAAGAGGTAGGAGAGACACTTGCCCTTTGGACTGCTTCCCAGTGGCATCTGTGCAGTGCAGAGGGCTGGCTGCTCTTGTGCATACCCAATGAAATGCCTTGTCTGGCCACTGGTGCTTGTGTGTGTCTCTGACAGGAGTGGGGGACGAAAAACAACCCACCCAAAACAAAGCAAACATGGTAACAACAAAAAAGAGCAGGCGTTCAGAATTTAACAAAAATACTCAGATGTGATTTTTGCTGCAATGAGCAAAATGTGATGCTGGCAGCATCCCTTCACATGGTTATTATCCTTGTAAAAAACCTGCTGCACTTTGTTGAGCTTTGAGGGGCATGTTTCATTCCTTACTGATATTCACCTCCATCCCACGCAGACCTCCCATTATTTCCCTTTTTTCATGATTGCAAAATCATTTAATCAGCAATGCCAAGCTGGGAAACAGAGTTCAGGGAAAGTGCTGTGCCCAGCAAGTCTAAAACCTGCACCCAGATCAGGAAAATGTGCCAAGCGGGCCCCAGTGACCCGGGGAGAGGCAAGCACAACCCAAATTGTTGCCAACTCTCACCATTTTATCATGAATCCGACAATGTATTTCCCTTAAAGCCCCACTCCTGGAAGCAAAGGGTTACGGGGAAATTGCAGCTTTCATTAAAAAAAAAAGTACGTTTCAAACCCTCACAGTCGCGGTAAAATGCTGAAAATGTGACCTGAGGGTGTCTTAAAGGCTCAAAAACCAGCAGGCAAAAAATAATAATATCTAGCTCCAATACAGGGCTCTTCACTCCGAGAGCTCAAAGCAAACCCAAACAGGAGCCTCATTTCTTTTTTTTAATCTCATAATTTTTTTTTTTTTTAAATCTCATAAATTTAAAGCAAATCACATGATTTTGCAGGGGCTGACACATAATTGCAGTACACTGAGGCTGGCAGTGCGGGATTTCATATAGGTTGATTGATGCCGGGATTGATGTGGGAGCCAGTGCATCATGATGGCATGGGTGTGTCAAGGGATTCAGTGTGCTGGGCAGTGAGGCTGGCAACGGCACGTCGGGAGATTTGGTTCATCGGGCGGTGATGTTGGCACAGGTGTGTCGGAGGCATTCGATGCGTCATATTGATATTGGCACAGGCGAGCATGAAGCAGGGTTGCCACCTGGCTGGGTTTTTGACTGGCCCAGCCAGTTTTTGTGCTGCCGTGTTGGTTTAATGTGCCATTTAGTTTCATTTTCCACTTGCCACACGTGAGGTAGCTCTGCCGTTCACACCCCCGTGGGCTGAGTATGGAAAGAAAAATGATAAAATAACAGAAAAACGTACCTGGGGGGGGGCAGGGGTCGAGTGTTTTTAAATGACTCTGTAAAACCGTCATATTAATTAGCGTGGGGTGGCACATGGACCCTTTGCTGGTGGGGAAGGGAGAGACCAGTAAGCTGAGGGCACGTTGGTGTGGGCACACACACAGCGACACACCGCGCCACGCTGGTACACGGGAGGCAAGGCGCTGGGCCACGGTACTGGCAGATGCAGTGGGGTGCCGTGCCGTGGCATTGGCAGATGCAGCGAGGCGCCAGCCCATTGTATTAGCACATGAGAGGCAAACTGCCGGGCCTGGCGTTGGCACACGCGGTGAGGTGCAGGGCCGTGACATTAGCACCCGGGAGGCGAAGCGCCTGGCCATACCACTGGCACATGGGAGACACGGGGCCAGGGCGTTGGCACACAGGGGGTACTGGCCTGTGACGCTGGCACACACATGGGAGGTTCTGGGCTATGGCTCAAGCACAGCAAGGTGCCATGCTGTGGTATTGGCACACAGGAGATGAAGTGCCTGGCACACGGGAGTCACTGGGACATGGCGATGGCAGAGGGGAGATGCCGGGCCCTGGGGGTGGCACACACAGGTAGACTCAGGCCCTGGGGGTGGCACACAGTAGACCCGGGCCCTGGGGGGGGCCCCCCCGGTGGTCAGGCCCGGGGGTGGCACACACAGGTAGACCCGGGCCCTGGGGGTGGCACACAGGAGGCCCGGGCTCTGGGGGTGGCACACACAGGAGGCCCCGGGCCCTGGGGGTGGCACACACAGGAGGCCCCGGGCTCTGGGGGTGGCACACACAGGAGGCCCCGGGCCCTGGGGGTGGCAGAGGGGAGGCCCCGGGCTCTGGGGGTGGCACACACAGGAGGCCCCGGGCTCTGGGGGTGGCACACACAGGAGGCCCCGGGCCCTGGGGGTGGCACACACAGGAGGCCCCGGGCCATGGGGGTGGCAGAGGGGAGGCCCCGGGCCCTGGGGGTGGCACACACAGGAGGCCCCGGGCTCTGGGGGTGGCACACACAGGAGGCCCCGGGCCCTGGGGGTGGCAGAGGGGAGGCCCCGGGCCCTGGGGGTGGCACACACAGGAGGCCCCGGGCCGTGGCACACCCAGTGTCTCACTCCGTGTCTCCCCCGCCAGCGCCCCCCGCCCCCCATCTCGGAGAGGGGCAAAGCCCCCCCCGCTCCGGGCGCGGGCGGCGGGTTGCAGGGGGGTGGGGAAGAGGCGTGTCCACGTCACTCACCCCCCCCCACACACACGCCGCGTTCCTCCACCCCGCTCCGCGCGGCTGATTGGCCGGCGGCCGGTTAAAACGGGGCACCGCTTCCCTCCCTGCCTTGCGGGTGGCTGGAGACGGCGGCTGCAGCAGTAGCTGGTGAGTGGCCGGCCGGCCGGGGCGCGCGGGGCCGGGCAGTTGACGCGGGCGGGCGGGAGAGCCGAGGCCGGCCCCTCAGGGCGCGTCTAGTCCCAAGCGGCCCCTCCCCTTCCCCCTGCCTACGTGCGGCGCGAGCCCGGCCGCCGCTGAGCTGTTGCGGGTGAGCGCGGGGCGGCCGGGGCTGGGCGCGTGGGAGAGCGGGGCTCGGCAGTGGGCGCGCGGGGCCGCCCGGCCGTTGGTGGTGGGGCGGCGGGGGAGGCAGTTCCTGACGCGGCGCGTGGGCTCCGCGGGCTGGGGCGGGGCGCCTGCCTGCCGCGCCGCGCACATGGCCCGCGGGGCTGCTGGGGCCGCGGTGACCTTGAGCGCAGCCGGGGCCGCCGTTTGCGGGCGCGGCGCCCGGCGTCCCTGCCGCGCTCCTGGCCGGGCAGTTCCCCCCGCCCCCTTTCTGCCTGGGCCTCCCCCCCCCCCCCCACCTCACGGGGCGGCCTAGGCCGCGAGCTCCCCGCAGGGCGGGGGTCACCCTGGGCCTGCCGCAGCCCGTCACCAGGTGTCTGGCTCTGGCCCCTCCTTGAAACGGGGCACGTCCCGCGGCCTGGCCCCGGCGCCTGCGAGGCTGCCGCCCGCGGCTCCGTGGGCCGGAGGCGGCCCGAGCCAGGCTCTGCCTGAGCCCCGTGTCTAGTGTCCACGCGGCCTGGCGCTGCGCCGGCTGGAAGACGGGCCTGGCGTGGTCTCGTGGAGCATGGCAAAATGGCTCCTGTCACAGCCGGCATCTCTCTCTCGTGTCCTGAGGTCGACGAGAGAGAGGAGTTTTGCCATCTCGTGGCAGGGTGGTGGTGAGGGGTAGGGTGGTATTATTATTTCACCCCTTCTTTTGTACTTCTGCAGCTCTGTTTTTGGACTGTCAAGGGAGGTCAGGGCTGGTGAGGAGCCTCCTTAGCCTGTGGCCTCTAGGCTGTACTAGTGGCACCTTGGAGACTAACCAATTTATTGGAGCATAAGCTTTCCTGAGCTACAGCTCATGCTCAAATTGGTTAGTCTCTCAGGTGCCACTAGTCCTCCTTTTTCTTTTTGCAAATACAGACTAACAGGGCTGCTACTCTGAAACCTGTAGGCTATACTAGCATTTCTGTATATTGCAGTAAGGACAGCTGGAGGTAGTACTAGTCCAGGCAGGCTATAGCTGTCTAACCTTGTCAGAGCAGGTCTAGGTCACCCTGGCATTTGACTGACCAAAGTACTTCCACTGTTGCTGCACTAATGTGGTGGTGGCATTGTGTCACGGCACAAGATATTTGCTGTGCTTCTTCCCTAGAAGTTGTGGAGTCATTCACTTGAAAGGTGGGGTACCTTCAACAGTTATCTAGGTGGCTGCAGCAGCAGAGCACTGCCTATAGGGTGGGATATCATGTTTGTAGGAAAACTTCACTACTGACTTGGCTCAGTTATCTTGACTTGGCTTCATAGTTCATGTAGCACTTATAGGCCAGTACATAGGGACCTATGTTTGCCATGGGTTTTTCCACTTGACGGAGGGAAGTGGCTAAGGGTAATGTCCAGTTCTGGACTTGAAGCCAACTGTGGTTTCTTGGGTGTCTAGCAAAAACCTGGATGTACACCCCCGGATTATCTGTTCATATTTCAGTGGCTTTTAGGAGCTCCATTTATAGACCAGTGCCTATTGTGCTAAATGCAACAATCAGTATAAAGCATTACAGCAGGTAATATAGACCAAAAAGAGTACAAGGAGATGGTGAATGACAGATGGTGGTCTCAGTAACCAGGACCAGATGCTTGTAGCATCATAGCTAAGGAGGGATTTAAAGGATAGTGAGGTAGCTTTCTTGTGGGGAGCTTCTCCCAAGAGGGAGGGGGCAGCATGGGAGAAAGCATGAAGGTGTTTGAAGATATAAGCAAGTGAAGAAGGCTGGCATCACTGGCCAATCAGAGGCAGGAATGAGTATCTTAATAGTGAATCATAGAACTGGAAGGCACCTCAAGAGGTCATCTAGACCAGTCCCCTGCACTCAAGACAGGACTAAGTATTATCTAGACCATCCCTGACAGGTGTTTGTCCAACCTGCTCTTAAAAATCCCCAATGATGGAGATTCCACAACCTCACTAGGAAATCTATTCCAGTGCTTAACCACCCTGAGAGTTAGGAACTTTTTTCCTAATGTCCAACCTAAACTGCCCTTGCTGAATTTTAAGCCCTTCTTGTCCTATCCTCAGAGGTTAAGAAGAATTTTCTCCCTACTCCTTGTAACAACCTTTTATGTGTTAAACTGTTATGTCCCCTCTCTTTTCTCCAGACAAAACAAACCCAGTTTTTTCAATCTTTCCTCAAAGGTCATGTTTTCTAGACCTTTAATCACTTTTGTTGCTCTTCTCTGGACTTTCTCCAATTGTCCATATCTTTCCTGAAATGTGGTATCCAGAACTGTACACAACTCCTCCACACTGATTAGGCCTCTACTGGAGTGGAGCGGAAGAATTACTTTGGTCTTGCTAGCAATACTCCTTCTAATAACATCCCAAATGTGTAGTGGTTTTGTTTTGCAACAGGGTTACACTGACTCATATTTAGGTTGTGATCCACTATGACCCCCAGATCCCTTTCTGCAGTACTCCTTCCTAGGCAGTCCTTTCACATTTTGTATATGTGCAACTGATTGTTCCTTCCTAAGTGGAGTACTTTGCCCTTGTCCTTATTGGATTTAATCCTATTTACTTCAGACCATTTCTCCAGAGACTGAGTACAGTAAGAATAGGATGTGAAGGATTTGAGGACAAAACTAAGCAGCTATGTTTGTGATGGAGAAGGAGGAGCCAGTAGAGGGTTGCAGAAGGGGGTGAGATGCTCAAAATGATTGAGGAAATCCTTGCAGCTGGTGTCTTGAATGGGGTAAGACTGCAGGTGTCAAAGCCAGAGAAGTGGATGTTGTAGTAATCCAGACTCTCATCGTACCATGTCTCGATAAGAGATCTAGCTGTGAATGGATAGGCAATCTGCAGAAAGAATTCGCAAGATTTAGATGTTCTGGATGTGGGATTGGTATAGGCTAATCAGACTTTTGGCCGGCGTGCCTCATCTCAAAATGGAGTTAAGATGCTTCAGTTCCACAGAAGGGTATTAGTGCTGCTTGAGTGTACCCTTAATGCACAGCTCATGTTACATTGATGCACAGTCTACATGAATTTACAACCCATTCTGATGGGAGAGCTGCTCCTGTCAGTGTAGTTCAGCTCCACAACAGGCAGTAGATGTGTCCATGGTAGCAGCTCTCCTGTTGACATAGCACTGTCTAAACCAGGAGTTAAGTTGGTGCAACTATGATGTTCAGGGGTGTGAAAAGTTCCCATGAAGTTACATCAACTTATGTCTGTAGTGTAGACCTGGCCTGAAGCATGAACAGTCTTTTGTGGATTATTGTTGTGCACTGGCATTGCTGGAGTTAACTTGTGATTCTTGAACAGGACGCAAATATATCTGGCTAAAGGGAACAGGTTCTATAGGCCACCACATGGTCACTTAGTGAGTTGTCACTTATGCATCCTAGGGTTCTTTAAGCTCTAAGATGAGACATCTGGGGAAGAAACATCAAGTAATACTTCCTATTTTCTATAACTTATTAACTAAGCTAAATTCTCATTCAAATTAAACGAATGAATTTGAGTCAACTTATCAAATAAAACTCCTTGTCAGCTTGGGAAGGCAGTATGTTTATCTGTCAGCCCCCAATAATGAGGGTATTAAAACTCGTACTAAGTGATAGCAAAACTCTTACTAAAAACTGTGCTTGCTCAGTCAAGCACTCAGGAAAGGCCAAAATTTGCCCATGCAGCCTTAATTTGGCTCCTTGTATAAATGCACTATAATAATCACATGCTGTTTTTTACAGCACACCTGCCTCATTCTGTGAATGAGTAGTTTAGGCCATAAGTTAAGTGAGAATACTTCTAAAGTGACATTTAATCTGCCATCCAAACCTGGCAGCAGATACTAGATTAACCTCCTCATGGTTGTAGGTATGGTGCTCTCACTATAGTATCTGAGTGATTCACAAAACAAACTCAGAATATCCCTTTGAGTTTAGGTGCTGGTGTTCCCAATTCAGTTGGGGAGCTGAAGTGCAGAGTTTATGGCCAAATTATCAGAAGGTTTGACTAACTTTAGATGCCCAATTTGAGACACCTAGGTCCTGAACTTGCACTATATTTAGGGCTATAAAAACAGCATGTGACTTCAGGTGCTTTTGCAGATATGCTGAATTAATGGTGACCTGTGAAGTCTGGTTTTAAATGACTTGCCCAGCATCACATAAACACTGGCATATGCAGAGATAAATGCCATCCTGGAGAACTGGATTCTAACTAGCTTACCCATAAGACCATACTTCTGCTCTCCTACTTTCAACAAATGAAGTAGGGTACTATAGACAACCACCTCATTCACTACACAGCCTTGATTCCCAGGGCACTATCTATCATACACTGAGTGATACAGGGGTCATCTAGAAAATTAGAATTGATACAGTCTTTAATTACATGATGTGTGCACAAGGGGGAGTCAAATTAAGGTTACAGAGGCAACCTTAATTCTCACACTTCCTAACTCAAGTGCTGACTCCTCATCCTTAATGTTCTTTCAGTTTAGCATTTAACCCCTAATCTCTAACAATAAAATCCAAAAATTGCATCATGTGGAACCACTGACACTCCACCCCAGTTGGAACATCAGCAGGGTCAGCGCAGTCCTTTTATGCTAGCTGAGTGACTGCTATGGTGGCAGGCTACTATCCTCTAGGGACAAGTCACTGGAGGGATCATGCTTTGCCAGTGTGCTTCATGTTATCTTCTGACAGCAGAAGAATGACTCTTGGATTTAATTCCAGTTTCTGTAGAGACGTTCTAATGGTTATGGGGGACACACCCACCTCCCTTCCCGTTCTTCTCCACTGTTAAAACAGCCTGTGCCTGATG